TTTATCATGTAAAGTTGCAAAATTTACGTGCATGCAAGGCTCTAAAGGCTTAGAATACCAAATCCAAGCTTAAAATGGGGTTTAAATCAAAGGGAATAGCTCATACTTGCTAAAGCTGGAAACTTTATAGTTATAGAGACCAAGATAAGTTTAGATCTGAAGTTGCAACTTCAAATCCTAGTCCATACCCGAAAATGGTTCACATACATGCTAGAAAGGCCCTAATCTTAAACATGAAGAGATCTAGAAGGAGGAAAGTCAAGGTAACGACTTGTTACCTTCAAAATGATGCCAATAAGCAGCAGAGTTAGATCCACCAGCTCCTCTATACTTCAATCCTCTTATACTTCAAGCCTTCTTCTTCCAAATCACCTTCCAAGCTTGAAAATCACACAAAATGGAGGGCACATGCGAAGTAGGGTTTCAGAGCTCAAGGGGACGGTGAGGGGAGGCCAAGGGAGGATAATGACCCTTTAAATAGGGTGCAAAACCCTGAAAATTAGGGTTTCATCCTCCAGCTCCAACTCGTCGAGTCGTATCCTCCGACTCGCCGAGTTGGTCACTTAAATATGCGGCCGAATTCGTCCCTACTCGACGAGTCAGGGCATCCAACTCGTCGAGTAGACCTTTCAAAATGGAAGTAAAATTGTAAAGTTTATACCTGAGAGTCGAGGTGTTACAAAACATATATCCAGGCATCAGGAAAACATGCAGATTCACAGATCATTACCGCATCATAACATCCAATATACCAGGTGTGACAACCTGAAATTTCTATCTTGTACAACACTTAAACTCAATCAAAGTCAGACTTGTTTCTGCTAACTTTTAGCACTGTTTAGAGTCTGTTTGAGCATTCTAAACCTAGTACATCAAAGGATGAAGTGTTAGGATGTGTCTACTGAAGTTCAAAACCAACAATCAAGCCATAAACCCCTTTATGAGGAGTTTACGGCCAGGACACATGAGTTTACGGCCGTAAACTCATGGTGGCCGTAAACTCTTGGCTATATATGTGATACTTGGCCATTTTTCAACACTTTTACCATTTCCAAGTCAAGAACTCGGTTTTTGCTCTCAACTATCATCAAGTTCTTCACTTAAATCTTCAAAAATGTAAGTGTTTCCATCCCTTGATTAGTGATACATCTTCTTAACTAGCATAACCCATTAATTCCATCCATTAACAGCATCTTTTGGGTTAGATCTCCAAGAACACCAAGAACACACACTAGTGTTTTGGGCCGGAATCAACCTTTCTAGCTTCAATATCGTAAGTATCACTTCCTTATGCTCGATATCTAGTTGAAACGCATGTTAAACACCTTGAAAACGTCCATTTCCCCAAGAACAATAGGTGTTTACGGCCAAGAGCATCTCCCTTGGCCGTAAACCCTAGTTAGAGGTGCATATGAACCATAAATCCTTCCTAAGGCTTGGTCTTGAGTCTAGAACACTTCCTTGTGGGTTGTGAGACCTTAAAACACCTTTTGGGCACAAATCATCATGAGTTTACGGCCGTAAACTCATGAGGTCGTGAACACATGGCCGTAAACTCTTGTGCCGTGAACACATGGCCGTAAACATCATACTGTGGCCTTCAACTCCTTAGATGCAATCCTATGTGATTTTAACACTTCCATATAAGTGTTTACTAAGTTCTAGGGTGTTTTCCTTACTTGATTAGTTGTATAAACACTAATTATATACAAATATGTGTCATTATATGCTTATTAGGATCCGTTGTGCTCAAGTCTTCACTTGACACTTAACATCCTTCAAACCGATCTTTCATTCGTATCACTCACTGCAGGTGAGTTCATACCCCTTAACTTATCTTTTAAATGATTTTAAATGCTTTTATGGGGGGGGGAATACAAGTTGAGCTATTATAGTTATTATATCAATCACATGTGATTAATAACTATCAAACAAATGGATTTTGTTACATTTCAAACTGTGTTATCAAACAAACTGCTTCAAATCGTTTTACAAACTCTTTTATATGCAAAAACTCTTTATCAAACTCTTTTAAACTTATATTTTGTCAAATGCATATCTATATAGATACAGTTATAAAAGTAGGATTGAAAAGACTTAGGACTGATAACTCGCCTTACTTCCTGTTCCTTGTTTGGTTGTGGACTTAGGGTATCGGTTGTTTGTCTGAAGGTCGTTTGAATCTTAATTATATATTATGTGTATGTATATAGATATAACCATCCTTCATTCAGTTCAATACCTTTGGGTAGCAAAGGTGTACAAACATGTTCATACATACAAACAACTTTGCTAGTAAACTATAATAGGTATAGTTTAGGAAGTCACTAATACTATTACTAGAACAACGAAACATACAAAGAGTCAGTTCATACATGAGTCAATACATACTATAACGAGAAACAATACTCACTATAAAGAGAAACAGATAGAGAATACTATAACGAGAAACAATACTCACTATAAAGAGAAACAGACAGAGAACACTATAACGAGAAACAATACATACTACACACTATACACTATAGAACATACTACATACTAGACAGAGAGAACATACACTACACTAGTACATACTATACAAATACAAGAATACTATAACATTAATGTGAGATACTACTTCATGGCTCGACATATACTGCTGTGTCACGTTTTGTACCCAGAGTCTCCTGGAGGGAGAGCGTGAATTTGTGTATAGATCTATACGGGACTGACCCTCCTACACCTTGCTGCTAGCTACAGTGGGACCTGCAGGTCTGCGGGTGACGAATGTCATATCATTTCGATGTCTAGAACGTCGTATTTTACTGGTCAATCGAGTATGGTTACAATCATATCACATTTTACCTTAATTAACTAACAAGTTTAAAGGTAGTTAGTACATTAGTAGTCACCTAGATAAAACTATAGTACATCTTTATTTTTCCCAATTCATTCACATTGTGATCTTCTCACATAAACGGTAATGAGAAACTATATTTTGGTAATGATAATCACACTTTTACAAAAGAACAAACATAGATAACAGTTGGGTCTTGGTAGAAGACTACTTTAGTAAAAAATATAGGATTTTCTAGGAAGATTACAAACATTTACTTCAAATACTTACAAACTTTTACATCGAACATTTACAAGTACATTCTTCAAACTTATACAAACAATGACACTAAAATACTTATGAACTCACCAGCTTTAATGCTGATCTACGCTTTCAAAATAACTTGTATTCTCAGGTCGCCAGTAGATAGGTATCGATGACCAGGTTTTGAGAAGATGGAGCACATTCAAGACTCATCTTTTATTTTGATTTTACATTTTGGTGTCTTATAAACTTCAGAACACACTTGTATTAAAATTATTACTATTAATGCAATGGATGATGTTGTTGCTTGTTTACTATTATGCATTGTTGTGATACTGTACATGACGTCCTCCGCCCCCGAACGTTTCCGCCGTTCCGGTTTTGGGGTGTGACACTAGGATACCTATCTAACACATCTCTACGACATAACAACATACTATCATGTAACAAGATATACAATCCACTAGGCCGACCTTGGTGCCTTCGACCCGTAAGTACAGTGAGGAAGACTCACTTCACAAACCTGACGAAGAAAACTGATCAATACTCTGATCCCAAATACCGGCTCCACCCAAGTTCTAAATGTCCAAACATTTCCCATTAATAAAATAATCACAATTTCCTAAATTATCCTTAGTCAAACTTGGTCAAAGCTAACAAGTCAACTGAGTCAACCCATCCGAGTCAACTCAGCCGAGTCGACACAGATAGCGTACACGGGGTGTACTCTGAAGGTACGCTGGGCGTACTCAAGCCTTGACCGCAAACGGGGAGAGTTGACCTCGTACGCGCTGCGTACTCAAGTTACGCAGGGCGTACGCCCAGACTCCTCAAAACTTCATTAAGAGCTTAATGCCTTAAGCTCTTATGTCCAACTTTCAGATCCAAGGCTAAATCATCCTCAAGAGTCTTAAAGTTTCCAACTTTATGACTTTGCATGTCCATTAAGTGCTTAACTCAACATCTTAATACATTAAGACCTTCTAAGAAATGCATGGAGCAAAACCAATCATTAAGACCCCATTTTTATGACTCAAGACCCTTGCTAAGGTCTGAAAGGACGGCTTAATGGGTCAAGAACATGCCATGCTCAAGAATCACCATTTTGGGACCAAAAAGTATCTTAAAAGAAAAAAGATCTAGATCTACAAGATGGAGTGGTAAAGTTGCTAGCTTTATACCTCTTGGAGGTTACAATCAAGGTAGAAATCACAGATCCAAGGTGCTTCGCAACTCCAATCTATTCACACTTCACCCTTCACCTTCAAGAACTCCTCTAAACACAACAAAGGGCTCCAAAAAGGCACTCTAACACTTAGGGTTTGCTTGGGGGTCGTTCTTACTGAGGGTGGCTGAAGAAGGAAGGGGACATGAGGTTATAATGATGTTTATATAAGGCCAAAACCCTAAAATTTAGGGTTTGCATGATCTTCACGTATGCCCTGCGTACGAGGTGTACGCCCATCGTGATAAGGCGCGCCTTAGTACGCTTAGCGTACATACGTACGCTCAGCGTACTCCCAAAGTCCGAATTTACCAAAGTGCCACTATCGGCCCCTTTTGCACTATTTCTTTTACTTAGGGACCAAAATGCAATATAATTCAATTATAGGGTCAAAATTAAAAGTACCTCATCATTGAGATGTTACAGTATTACATGGCATTATAGGGAAAAGACCATGGGGTAGCCAATGACAATTGTATGTATGATATGTGGTATTTTGGGGAACTTAAGTTTTGTGTTTACGATTTATGTTTAAAATGTTTTTCAAGTACTTCCGGTTCCAAAGGAAAAAGTTCGACATGATTGCATCACATCCACTAGTGTTTCGCCTTTGATAATATGATTTGTACTATGATAACTATTTTATACATTATCAAACTTGATGAGTTTTGAACGAGTGATTGATGGTTTTGATTGACTTAAATATAAAAAATTTTATTTAGTTTTTTTTGAAAGTTACAGTTTATATCAATAAAACTACAAAAAAATGTACAAAGGTACAAAGAAAAAAGGGTCACAAATGTCTACTGTCTCAAATGAAATTTTATAATAATTTAGTTTTTTCATCGTCAATTGTCTTTTATTAGATGAAAGACCGGCATTACATCATTATGGTACAATGTACAACATTGTGTACAACTTTGCACCATAACACATTGCTCTTTATTAGCTCAAGAATCGAATTAATGCAAGCAAGTGTCAATTGCTTATAAGTAGAGTACCGGTTTTTCTGGCTACTCGTCTCTTTAACCGGTTGATCAGAATTTTACAAGGTTTCAGTATTAATTAATCAATGTCATTGTTTTTGTGCTTTTTCTTTTTCCGTGGTTTCTTTTGCAACTTCCCTAGCTTCCTCTAGCATGGGTTCCATTATATCCTCTATCTTCTCTTGCATTTCTTGAAACTGAAATTCCAAAATAATTAAATCATTTATGTATGTAATCTGAGTTTCCTTTTGGTATAAAAAGAAAAATTAGATAGATTTTGAAATATAATTAATACTTTAGCAGAAACCCACCTTGTCAATGAAATCGCCGGCGGTGTGAGCATCTTTTTCGACTCTTTCAGCCACCTGTTCGATGTAATCAAAAGTCTTCTTGATTTGGCTATTTTCCGGCAGATCATCTTCGAGCTCCTCCACCACTTTGTCCACCTTATCCGCCACCGACTCCACTATATCCGATATATGCTCCGCCGTATCCACTATGTGGTCAACTTTCTCTGGAACACCCAATACTTTAAGATAAAACTTTCTATCCAACATTAAAAAAAAACTCTTAGTTAATTAATACTTACGCAGAAGTAATTTGATTGGACCTCCTTTGGTTGTAACAGAGGGGACGACAAATGTCATCAAAATCCCAATAGCCCAATTCTTCCTACAAAAAGTTTAAAATTAATTAAAGCAACAAATCGATTTAAAAGACTCATAATTAAGTACATAAAATTAACAAATAAGTTGGAAGATTAATTACCAAGAACCAGAAGGAGGAGTAGGTGGTGGAGATGGTGTTCCGGCGGGTTCCACGTTGGCATAAGCGATCATGGATTTCCATCTACTGGCGGCGATGTTGGTGGTTGTGAGCGGAGCTAGCGCTATGGTGTGTTTGTTGATCGGAAAACCAGAAATAGAATTGAATGAAAGACTAACATGGGATTTGTGAGTTAGGGTTTCATGCAAATTTATTTGAGAAGACAAACACGTTGTGATCGACATGGGTTAATTAAGATCTTTAAAATTTCAACTTCTTTTCCGATATTATGTGTAGAAAACAATTTATGGAATATATTATATATACAGATACATATAGATCAGGTGATGATGCTGTAATCACGTACAATTATTATGATATCCGGAAATTGTCGTGTTTATGACATTTTTGCCCTTGTGGCACGTGGTTGTTAGGTAGCTAAGAAACAAAGAGAGCAATCGTATCCAACGAAGGGGATCATATCATTATAGTGTCTACACTACAACTACCTACTCAGTACTCATCTTTATGCTTACAGCTAATAATCTTCTGTTTGCATTTTCCTTCTTTACATGTTTGATAAAAAAGAAATAAAATTTCTGTAAAATATTAATATACGTCTCTAAAAAAACATTATAAAGTACTTGTCATACTAACGTCTTAGGCTGGACGAAGCCGGGCGCGGGAATGACCGCGGGAAGCGTCCCGCTCCGACGAACACCGCACCGGCGGTGGGGGAAGAGTGGCGCGGGGAGAAGGGTGGGGGGTGGGGCTGCCGCGTTCTCACTCCTCCTCCGATTGGCTGATTAAAACTTTTTTTTTTGTTCCAACGGCTAGATAACGATAATATATATATATATATATATATATATATATATATATATATATATATATAATTTTTTTTATTCCCCCGCTATAAATACCACAACATCTTTTAATCCATACCTTCTTACTCTCTCCAAAAAATATTAATCAAAATGTCATTATCTTCATCATCCGATGGCTCAAGAGGAAGCTAAGTTTATCGGTTCCGTCATGGCGAAAACGGTTGCATACTTTCAAAACCGACAAGGCGAAACATCAAATGCACGATCTAAACCAAGAAACCAGCCGTTGCATAGAAATCGCAAAGCCGGACACGATCGTCTTATAGAAAACTACTTTGCAGATGACGTTATCTACGCTGTAAAGTTTCGACGTCGGTTCCGGATGAGGAAGGAACTATTTTTACGTATTGTTGGCGATTTGGAAGGCCGTTTTCCATATTTCCAATGGAAAATGGATGCGAGACGGATAAAACTCCAATTCAAAAATGCTCGTCTGCAATTCGTCAGTTAGCATACGGCATGGGCGCAGACCAATGGGACGAATATTTTAGGATGTCAGATCATACAGCGTACCGTGCTGGAGTGTGTGTACAAGTTCTGCAAAGCGATCTGTTTGGTTTATGGGCAACGATATTTGCGTAAACCAACTATGAACGTTATCCACCAATTGTACACGATGCATGAAGGCAAGCATGGATTCCCTGGAATGCTATGTAGTATCGATTGCATGCATTGGAGTTGGTCATTATGTCCCAACGCATGGCGTGGTCAGTACATGAGAGGCGACCACAAAGAGCCGACAGTCATTCTAGAGGCTATCGCATCACATGATCTTTGGATATGACATGCATTCTTTGGTTTAGCTAGTGCAAACAATGATACTAATGTGCTAGACCAGTCATCGATATTCAATGATATCTACCTTGGAAAGTCGCACGATGTACCTTTGCAAGCAAATGGGGTAGCATATAAGCGTGGATACTATCTTATTGACGGTATATATCCTCCTTTGTCTGTTTTTGTGAAATCGTTTACATGTACTAACGACCTGAAAAGGAAAAAGTTTAAAGAGGCGTAAGAGTAAGCTAGGAAGGATATTGAGTGAACATTTGGTATACTTAAGAGACGTTGGCAAGTACTAGCAGTTGGGACAAGGTCATATGAAGTGAAAAAGTTACAACACGTAATGTATGCATGTATCATATTGCATTATATGATTCTTGAAGACGAAGGAAGAACGATATGTCGGTACAACGAAAATGAAGTTTTGCTGAATGTCGAAGGAGTAGCCGTTGGTACACAAGAGTATATGGCAAATAGAAGAGAAGTACACAATCGCAACATTCATCACGCCCTTCGTGTTGATTTGGTGGAACACGTTTATAGGACTCATATTTAGCCGCTGATAGAGTTTTGTCATGATGATTTGTTTGACAAATGAGGATTCTGATATGTTCGTCGAGAGCGAAGATTCTGATGACGAGAATGACGTTCAGAAGAATGATGCAGACGATGAGGTCGATGACGAGGACGATGATTCCAAGTGACATATTTTGTTTTGTTTTTTTTAAATTAGGATATTAATTATGTTTTCTATGTTGTGGTTTGTTTAATTTTTTGTTTGTGTTTTTTTTAATTTTCTACTTATTTAAATATTAGGTTTAATGTAATTTTTATTTTAATTAATGAAATGCTTTTTATTTTTAATTAAAATTTATGTTTATTATTAATTTAAAAATTATAAATCATAAAAAAGAATTAATTTTATTTAAAAAAAATAAAAAAACAAAATAGTGAGGGAAGCTTCCCACCCATTCTTTGGATTTAGGTGAGTGAAAGAAAAGTGAGGTAAAGAGTGTTGTGACACACAAAAAGTGAGGGAAGTTTCCCACCTACATCCTCCGGTCTTATTACAATCTGAGTTCAAATTTTTTGTCCGATACAAACTCTTGTAAAAAAAATGTCATAACCGGTATGTCAAAACTACTGAACTTTTGTTTTAAATTAATGTGTTCTAGTGATATCGGTTAAAATTTTAAATATCCCTTCACAAGTGTTTATCAGTATGGATCCTTTATTTTTTTTTATTTTTTTTATAGCTGGCATGTTGCATACACAATGGAAATATGGAAGAGCAATGAAATAATTGGCCATATGTTATTGTTTATTGAGTAATTGGTTGAAAAGATTATCTTGTGATCAGAATTATCAGCAATTCACATGCCAAATTGTTTATTCAAGAAAATTGAATAGACCAAAAAGCTTGACCAAAAGCCGAAAGGACACCACAAAAATGTGCGGAATAGTTTAATAATGTTAGGTAAGGAAATTCAATAAAATGATTTATAATATTAAGGCAGTGTAAACTACAAGAATGATACCCGTGGTTTAATCAAATTTACAGTTTTGTTCCAACTTTTAAAAATTGATTGATCTCATTTTAAGGTTTTATCTCTCTTCCATATAAAATGAATATATTATCCAAAGTTTTTAAAAACCGGTTCGAACTGGGACCCAGATATATGAGCAGTTCAACTATCACTGACTTTATGTCAATTTCTATCCTGGAAAGAATCGGACGATTTCTTCAAAAAACAAGTTGAACCAGTGTGATAGAACAAATAAAAAACCGTTTGAATCGGTTTATTGTATTTGATATTTGAATTTTCACTTACGCTATGTTTGACGTACTAGCTGAAAAGCTAGCTGATAGCTGAAAAACTAATTGATAAAAAATGATGTTAAGTAAAACTACCTGAAATATATAAAACGACATAAAAAGGCATTTAAGAGAATGCGTTTCTATAATTAATTAAAGGGTATCTTTGGAAAATTTTTAAAAAATGTACTAAAAAACTATTCTAAGAGCATCTCCAACCCACTCCCATTCTCCATTATTTCCCCAATTTCTTCCCTCATTCTTCTCCAACCCTACCCCATTTATTCCCCAATTTTGGGGGAAATAAATAGTATAACACCATATTTGATGTTATACTATTCATTTCCCCCAAATGGGGATGAACTTTGAGTTGTCGATTTTAGTCATCCTTTTTATATATTTATACATTTCTAGTTTATTTTTATCTACCAATAATAATTTAAGTGTAATATTTAATACCTATAATATTAAATTATATTAATTAGTTATAAATATAATGTTTGTTTTTTGTTTATCAAATCCATATTAAAATTTAAATACATATTGAAATTTTAAAACGCGATAACGTATTTTACAAAAGTTTGTAATTAAGTGTTATAAATATAATCTTATTTATTTAATATCATTGTAATGAAAAAAAATATAGATTATATATTTGTTAAAATAAAATTAATAGAATGGGTGTGTTTGACAATTTATATAAGTTAGAATAATGAAATATATATATTTTGGGGGTAAAAATGGGGTAAAAAATGGAGTAGTGTTGGAGATGAAAATACTGTTTGCCTCATTGTTTACTCCATTTTTGGAGGGAAAAAATGAAAATAGGTTGGATATGGTCTAAGGGGCCGTTTGATAGTTGTTAACTGGGTTATAGCTGATTGGGTTAGAAGCTCTGATTGTGTCCACATCTGACTGAGTTTATCTTGTTTGATTATTTATCTGACTGACTGTGGTGAATGATGAAAAATGACCGTATTACCCTTATGTTGTGCTAGATAAAATAATTATACAAATACAAACTATCACATAAAATCGAAATAAAACATACATCATTTAAAATCCAAATACAAATTGTCATACAAAATCCAAATACAAATTGTCATACAAAATCCAAATACAAATTGAAATACAAATAAAAAACGGCATAATAATTTGCATAAATATTTAAAGTTCACCATTTAAAAATAGTTGATTAGCAATCTGGTTACGCAAAGTAGCCATATATTCAAGGACTTCTGAACCCCATTGTATGTCTAACACATTTTGGCCATCACTTCTTCCACCTTGCTCGTTAGGATTATCCATATTGTTTTGTTCAAAGTTTGTAAATAAGTCATCTTGAATATTGAATTTCCATATAAAATTATGGACAGCGACATATTATGCGAAAACAAAACATCCTAAATATTAACAAATTTTCTAGTCAACACCTATCGCAAGACAATTTAAAAGCAATGTAATTTCAACAACAAAATAAATCACACAACAGCCGAAAACAAAACATCTTAAATATTAACAAAATTTCTAGTCAACACCTATTGCAATAGCCAAAAACATAGCCAAAAAACAAATAAGGAGCATGAAGGAAGAAACATATACAATCCATGAACAAGCATGAAGAAACAATTATTTCTCACTGAGAAATAATGAGAAGTCGTGAAAACATGAAACAAATAAAACCACAATTTGCATATATCTAGCAAAGCATCATGGAGCACATCACAGTAAAAAAAAAACGAGCAAATATTTCATCAATTATTGGATACATGCACACCAAATAGAAAAAGAATAAAAGAAGAAAAACAAACTCAAAAAATCACAGCAAAAAAATCAACTTTTCAGCA